GCTCTGAGCAACCTGATCTAGTGCAAGATGTCCCTGCCCATGGCAGGGAGTTGGAACTAGATGATCTTTAAGGTCTCTTCCAACCCAAACCATTCTGTGATTGTATGATTCTGTGATTCTAAGATGGAAGTGTTGGTACGTGGCAGAGACCTTTGGAGCTATGCGTGTATGACGAAGGGCGGAAATTAATTTGCAGAGTCTTCATTACAGTCAATTACCAGAGGAACAACCAAGTCCATGGAATGGTTTTCATACATAAAGTTGAGCTGAAGGTCAGATAGAAAACAAACAAAAAAATCCCCCTCTTCCATAAGGGAACTGAGGACAGTAGAGGAAAAAGTAATGGAAAAAGACCATGTAAGAACTCTAGTTCTGCTGTACAACCTTCCTTGTGAGTCTTGGGACTCCTCTGTGGACACGGCTAGCTGCACACAGGGATGGGGTGGTCAAAGGGAAGGATATCTCTTGGGTCCATCTCTCCAGAAACCTCATCTGACTGGTTAAAGCTGGAGAGGTTTCCATGGAGAGATGGAAGAGGAGAGATGGAGACCTGACTCCTCTGCCTGAACTTGGAAGGAGAGCAGAAACCCTTTTTTCTTTATAATTTTAGTTACTGTCCTGAGTTTTGAATTGCCAGTGATAGTTGACAGTCAGACAAGCATTAGAGGGGATGTTTCTGCACTGCATGGTGTGTCCCTCCCAGCCGCACCACTTCTGAGGCCCCCTCTGGCTGCAGAAGGATTACATGCTGGCTAGATGTCCCTGAAGTGTATTTTGAGAGGGTGGCTGTGGGAGCAACCTGGATTGTTGACACCAAACTGCTCTCTATAATTTTTTTGACCTGATATGAAATAGAAAAGAAATCTGAACATGAGTCAGATTCAGAGCTTTTCAATATCCTTTTCTTTGCTTCACTCCAATCTTGCATATTTGATTTAATAGATCATTTTTTCCCTATGTGATATAAACTATGAGATGGATCTATTACAGATATGTTATTTATGTATTCTGGTTGCCTTATAGGCAGATTTCATACCAAGATGATTAAGGACTGTTTTTTGCTGTTCCTTGAAGATTGTATAATGAGATGAAAGGTAGAAAATGCATATTTTAATTGAGTATATTTGTAGAGTTGAGAGCGTGGTATAACGTATTTCATGTGTGGCTCTGGGTTTGATAGTATCTTCTTATGCCTTGATTTATTTTTGAGACAAATAGTTTTCCTTTCTGCTGTGCTCTTAGTTAGGTTTCTAAACCATACGTTGAGCCACAAAGACATTTATTGAACCATGAAAATATTCATTCCAGAGAAATCAGAATATTATTTGCACTTGGATGCAAAATAGCAAAGGCTTTCATGTTGTTTAGGTAGAACTTTATTAACATCTGAATATCTCTGGAGAGCTATGGTAACAGTAGGAGAAATATTAAACTCAGTATTGTTTGTTTTTCTATAAGTAAATGAGGAGAATTGCAAGTCTTCTCTTGTGAGTCAGCTGAATATTTGCAGGTCTACACCAGAGCTAGCATGGACTGACCCTTATCCACCTGATACCCCTTCTTCTGCTTCATTATGTGGGATGTCGGCACTGCAAGGGGTCATAGAAGGAGCAGGAAAAGATCGCCCCCAAAATAATCCTTGTGTGCACAGAGTACCTCCTCCTAGGGTAGCGTAGTTTAGGGACTGATGTCTGCAGTCATGGTGGCACAGATCTTTAGGAAGGCAGATTTATGCTGCCTCATGGGTGGGTTTCACCTTAGTGAGAGTGAGCTATGCCAGCTAAGGAGCTCTTCTGCTTGTGCCTGGGGCTGCGGACATGACCACTGCCTTCCCGCTCCTTGGTTCATGGCCAGTCCTGCCAGCAGAAGCCAGCTAAATTGAAAGGAACCAACCAAACTTTATGGATCCACCACACCGGTCTGCCCTAAAGCTGCATAAACCTTGAGCCTGTGGCTAAAACTCTGATCCCGTTTTCCTCCCATTTTCCTTCCATATTGTGTGTTATTTTTATGGGCCACGCAGGGCCGTGTCCTGTTGGAGGTAGGGTTCCCCTGAGGAAATGGAGAAATCTCCATCCAAACCAAGTGGCTGGTCTCCCTCTGTAGCCAGTGGAGAGAAAGAAGTGTTTCTAGGACATGTGTTATCTTTTCATCCCCCTTGCAGCAGGTGGCTAAAATAGGCATGTGGTCAATGTTTTCCCTTTATTGACTGCAAAGGGAGCTGGAGGTGGCCTTGCCCATGTGGAGACACCTCATGGAGCTTGCCAGTATGTGTCATTTTAATATAGGTCTGTTCCCTCTGAAGAAAGTTATGCACTAATTCTGCCAGCTGCACCCAAACTCTCTCTTGATACCAAGCTGGTTCAAGAATGAGATGTTGCTGAGGTTTGTTTTAATAGTAAAATTGTGGGCTATGAATTTGGAAACAAAGCTGCAAAGACAAAGCTAAAAATGTAATTAGATGTGAGTCGAGATTGTATGTGGGATCTGAATCAATATTATTAATAAGATAAATAGCTAATATTCTTTCCTAGCTAATGCTGCTTTTCACTTAGACTGCTCAGGGCTTATCTCAGTCACAGAGACCATAGGGCTGATCTTCCCTCACACCATCATTCTGCCTTGAGGTACTCCTCAGAGCTGACCTTGGATGGCATTTTCAGAGGTATCACAATACTGTGTTTATCTCCCCTAATTTGTCTGGGCTCCCTCTGAAATCGATGAAGAGGGAAAGGCACTCGCAGAAGGTGATTCATCCCATCCATCTTAGACATCCAACCTAACATGGGATGGCGTGTGCTCTGGGTATGGCTTGCTCCATTGACCAAAGAGGAAGCCTGCCTGGTTGGCTGCTGTAGATTAGGTACCATGACAACCAGAAGTTTGGGATCAATCCTGCTCTAAGAGACTGGGAAAAAAATTCTAGTGGAATCTGTGTCCAGTCTCTCAAGTGCTTTTGCAAATCTCACCCTCTGCCTTAGCATTTGTGCTGCATAGCATCCAATGTGCTTTGTGCTTGCTCTGTGATGGTACATGGTGATCATCAAAGCAGTGGGAGTGCTGCACAGTACGTTCTACGCCAGCTACTTCCTTTCTGGTTTAATTATAACTGGGTTTGCTAATCCCAGTCTTGATTAATGAGCTTAATATGCAAATGTTATAATGAAACTGAAACTCTTTGTAATTGCTTGCAGACAGATTACCACTTCGAGTACACAGAATGTGACAGCAGTGGCTCCAGATGGAGGGTGGCTGTCCCGAATCCGTCCGTGGAGTGCTCTGGACTACCCGACCCGGTGAAAGGGAAGGAATGCAGTATGTCGGCACTTTTCATTTTACAGACTTCATGTTGCTAGCTGTTTGTGCTGTTTACCCTTGTGAGGCTTCTTAGCTCTGTCACTGATGTCCTGAGTGTCCCTGAGTTAGTCCTTCCTCTCCAATCCTTCTTCTTGTCTCTTGGAGCTGTGGAGTAGGGATTGTCTTTGCAGAGTAGTTGTATAACTCAGTATCTGCTACAGGTACCCTTATATGCTAATTCACAGACAAGCCACGTCTATTACAACACCCCTTGAAGAGATGTGGTTGCTTGTCTTGAGCTGCCATACTCTAAGTTCTGCAGCTCTCCAGTTCATTTGTAGCTGTATTGGCCAAAATGGTGACCAGGAGTGGCCAAATTCGATTTACATACTGTCCACATTCTCATTACCTGCATTATTTAACTAATTAAGTAATGGTAAATGTCTTATTCGCCTGAGTTATTTTCATGATGAAGCTTTTGCATTTTATTTATGTATGTATTTATTTTTAACAAATTGGGGTGTTCTCATATCACTTGGTCCTGTTTTTTTTTTTAATGTTAAAACACTTCTTTGCATCTGGGACATAAGCGAACTGCTGTTCTGCAAATACATTTGAACTATTCCCTCACTGTTCTGTAGCTTCCCAAGCTGAATGCTCTTTCCCATCACACTTCCTTGCTCTAGCAATTCGCTTCACAAAAGATCCTAGCAGTGCTTTACTTTCTCAATAATTTGTACCGGGGGGTATAAATTATTGTATCTGACAAGCAGGATGAACAATGGCAATGTCCTTTCAGTTCTAGTGTAGGAAAGATGAGATTTTATTCACTTCTGACTCTTCTCCTGTAAAGGTTTATTGTTCATTTCTTTACGGCATATGTTCCAGTACAAAACACATAAATGTTTTCTGTAGCAGTGTTGGCCACTGGAAGATTTCTGACTGCTTGCAAGCATCATTTGAGAAGCTGTCTGTGTCATTCTGTGTATTTGGGTTTAGTTTCTGAGGTTTTAAATGTGGAATCTCTGTATATCCTTAGGATGTGTTTTTCAATTACAGAAATATAGAGCTGGGAAGCACCTCAGGTGATCCCACAATTCATCCCCCAGCCCAAATAGCTATCGTAGCAATGACTTTGTCATTCATGGCTGATGTTTGGCTGGACTGTTTTCAGGGACCTCTGGTGATGAAGAGCCCACAGGCTCCCCAGATATTTGCTCATCTATTTTGTTCTGTTACAGCTTTTTCTGCTGTTGAATCTCCCTTGTACTTCAAGCCTGTTACTTTTTGCTGTCTGCACTATAAAGGAGCAGACAGTGTTATTTCTTCTGCTGCACAACCACTTTTGGTGTACTCTGGAGTACATAGGTATAACTTTTTTTTTCTGAGATACTTTATTTCTTCTTAAACCTTGTGATAAATGGTTTAAGGTCCAGCAATGCTACATTCTCCTCAACTTTCTGCTACAGATTTCGACAAATGGTGCACTTCCCTTTTCATCTCCTCTTATTTGTGTGTCTTTCTGGTCTTAAGCCAGTTCCAATGAAAATTCAACTGTTTTATAACAATAGATGAATCTCTGGCTTCTCCATATTTGCCCCCCTGCTAGACAAGGGGAAAAATTTGCCGAGTAGATTGGCTGTGATATTACACACCAAAGTACAGGATTCTGTTAAACACACTGGAAAACTCATCTCAGTTGATGCCTCTCCTCCTTGTTGTGTTGCTGTTAAGTGCCATGGCAGTTCAGCTGGTTTGTGAGAAGCAATTGGATATTTGACATTTTTACTGAGCCCTTCAGATCTCATCTCTCTTGGCTCTTGGGAGTGCAGTGGTGTTAATGTAGTTCTGCCTTTTTTTTCTGTCTGTAGTAGATTATCTGGCTTCAGGAGATGTCTGGCTATATTCTGATGCCAAAAGTCATTTTAGGTTTCTCATCTCTTAGTCTTTCACCTTTTGCTTTAAGAACAACCAATCTTTCAGGCTGGAAACGTGAACCTGTCAACAGCAGTCAATTACTGCAGGAATGTGTAT